GAGGAGAAATATACGATGAGTTCTATGATGGAGTTAAATATTTCCTTCAATTTGCACACAGTAATCTTGGTCCTAAACTGAATGATTTATTTAGATGTACTTGTACTAATTAATGCTTTAATTTACCATTGATGACTCAGGGAATGGTATGAGACCATCTTACTAAGTATGGTTTTATGAATGCTTATTCTGTTTGGTGGGTGCATGGTGAGACATTTGTGAATTCAACAGATCCATGGTCTGTAACTAATCTAGGAAAATCATCACACAACCAAGATACACACCATGATGAAAGGAATGACTTTCGTGAAATGGTGTATGATGCATTTTGTCCAAAGGATGATGATAATCGTGAAATGGAAGACAATTTCCCTAATCAACATCTGAACAAGGAACCAAACAATCAAGCAAAGGCATTTTATGACTTGCTTCATGCATCTACAATTCCACTTGGTAGTTCTAAAAGAAATGAGACAGTGCTCAGCTGGCTCTCTTATATGTTGCATACAAAGATTGCAAATATAACTGCTAGTGGTTTTAATGACATTCTCAAAGGATGTAGAAGGTTGCTAAGTGCTGAAAATCAAGAAAAAATTCATGCAAACTTTTATGAAGTAAAAAAAATATATAAAAGGGCTTAGGTTAGGTTATCTAAAAATTAATGCTTGTGTTAACAACTGCTTTTTATACTATGGGGAGCATACAAAAACATTGACTACATGTCCAATTTGTGGAGAAGCGAGGTATAAACAAAGAAATCTAGAGAAGAAAAGACTAAAGGACATTCCAAGGAATTCGCTTTGGTATTGCCAATAATACCTTGCCTTCAAAGGCTATACATGTCTCGAAAAATAGCTGAGCACATGAAATGGCATTTGAAATGCTGTGGTGATATAAATAAGGTAATTCATCCAACACAATCAAAAGCATGGAAACATTTTAACGAAATGCATCCTTCTTTTAAAAGAAAACCTCATAATGTTTGATTAAGTCTTGCTACTAATGGTTTCAACCCATGGGCTCATTCTGCAACCTCCTACTCTTGTTGGCCAATTTTTTGATTGTTTATAATTTGCTACCAGAAATGTGCATGCGACCAAAGTTTACTTTTCTTACATTGATCATTGCAAATCTAAAAAGACCAAGTAGAAATATCGATGTTTTCCTTCGACCTTTAATTGAAGACTTGAAAATGTTATGGTTGAATGGTGTACAAACATATGATAATTATCATAAGCAAAACTTCATAATGCGGGCTATGTTGATGTGGACCATAACTAATTTTTCGAGTTATGGTATAGTGTATGGTTGAAGCACTCATGGCTGGTTGTCTTGTCCTTACTGTATAGAGATGACACAATCTTTTTATCTTCAAAATGGTTCAAAAACAAGGTTTTTTTACTATCATCATTAGTTTTTACTTGAATCACATCTTTTTAGATTTTATCAGAGTAATTTCTTAAAGGGTCGGGTTGAATTTGGTAGTCCCCTCCTCAATTAGATGGTGTTTCAATGTGTCACCGAGTTGAAAACCTTTCTGATATGTTGTTTGGGAAACCCTTTAAAAACCACACAATTGAGGGTTTTGAGAACATCCATAATTGGTTGTGGTTAAAAAGGTAGAATTGTTTTTAACATGGTAGAGTTGTAGAATATATGTGTTTTTCATTGCAAATGCAGGTTCAAAAAAATTGGTTTTGATCATATGTACAGGGAAACTCTATCAAATTCTTTTTTGAATTTATGCCAACTAAAATGACCAAAATGCAAAAAATCTATTGAATAAATTTGAAATTATTGCATTTTTTATAACAAAGTTGTAGAATTGTAAATGCAAGTTCAAAAAAAATTAGCTTTTATCATACATATGGGGAAACTCTGTCAAATATTTTGAAAACTTATATCCACTAAAATGATTAAAATGAAAGAAACTTGTTGCATAAATTCAAAACATGACATATATGAAAAAAGGGACGAAATCTAGAAACAAGACTGGGGAGTCTGGGAAATTTTCACTTGCCAACGAGCATCTTGTTGGCAATTACCATTTCCCAACACTATTTTAGTCGGTGAAATGGGCACATTTTTCCACTTCAGATACCAACATGAAGCTAGTCGGTAAATTGGGCGATATTGCAAAATTTTTTTCATTTCTGATTGCTCACCTTGAGATCAAGGGCCTATGTGGGCTTTGTCGGTAAATTGAATACTGACAAAGCACACATAAGTAAATGAAAATTTTTTCATTTTTCAATTCCCGCCTTGATTTTAAGAACCTATGTGGGCTTTGTCGGTAAAATAAATTCCAACAAACCACACATAAGTTAATTAGTCTATATATCACCAAAACACTCTATCCCACTCATTTCTTCTCCTTCCTTCTTTTTCTTCTTGTTTTTTCTTCTCCTCCCTCATCCATCCCTCCTCTTTCTCTTCCATTCAAATGTTGCTAGATTAATTGTTTATATTTATGATTACATTATATTCATATAATTTTAGATTTATATTGTAATATCCCAAAATTTCTAGACTATTAAAGTTGAGTTGGGGACTAATTTGTGAGGAAATATTATTAATGATCTTAATAATAGAAAACTCCAAAGTTGAAGGACTAAAAAGAAAGAAAATTAGGATAAGGATCAGCTGCCTTCTTTTTTTCTTTTTTTCTTTCTTTCTTTTCGTCCTTATCTGCGCGTCCTGCTCTTCTTCTTCTCCCCTGCAGCCGACCGAAGCTCCCCTAAGCCACCGACTTCCTCTTCCTTGAAAACAGGTAAAAAGGCTTGGAATTTCTCCTTCTTTCTTGTTCAATCACAAGATTTGGGGCTTAGAATTCTCTCCCTCAACCCAGAAAAAAATCCCGGTTCTGCTCTGCTCTTCCTCCCCTGTCCGTCGGTTCTGCTGGGTGTGAATCCTTCGGCTTTTCGGGTAAGCCACAGCCATGAAATTCATCTTTCTCCCTTAATTTGGCTTGGGTTTACTTTGAATTGTGTTTTGGTTCTTGAATTTTGAGGTAGCCCGTGAGTTTCCCCCTGCAGATTGCCGTCGGCTTCCTTCCCAGCCGGACCCGGTTCTGCTTGCCGGAATTTTATGGTATGTTGACAGCCCCATTAAGTCCGAAATTACCCATTAATTGCTGGGTTTTGTCCATTTAGTTGATGCTCTGTGATTATCCGAAAATTCTGTGGAAATAGGAAGAAATTCGGCAGCCATTTAAGTCTATAATTTTAGTTCAAATTCATGTAGAAATGGCTTGATTTGGCTGTGGTGATGTTGCGTAGGAAAATCCCGTGTGTGAGTGTGATTTTGCCGAGCCATTTTCTCCATTTTTCTATCCCGAGAGTTGGAAGCCATATGCATGGGTGTTGTATGTATATATGTATATATATATATATATGTATGTAATTGTGTATATATATATACACAATCCGGTTGTGATGCCCAATTTTGAAGAAAATAAATAAATAAGTAAAGAAATAAATGTCGTGTTATGGGGGAAATTTTGGTAGCTTAAGCTATGTTTTTAAGCTTGGTTTAAGTGTAAATTAGCTTGAATTGGGATGTTGTGATTTTGGAGAGAAACCCCGTGAATTAGCTATGGTTTGCCAATTTTGGAAGTTGAAGTTACTGTTCACAGATACTGTTCACACACCGAGGGTCAACAACTAACGGGGATTTAAATGTTTAGTTTGTAATATAAGAACAAATTTGGAGATGTCCGATCATGTGGAGATTGATATAAATTGCACTATAATTAGGGGTAGTGCTAATGATGATTTCACTTTGAATTTGTGGTAGTGCGGTATTAACTTTGGAATATTGTGATTAGGTTTTGATCATTCTGTCACCGTAGCACTTGGGTTAAGCCTTTTGTTCTGTGCGAGTGAGGTAAGTAAATTATGGTAAAACCCTTCGATTTCAAAGCATGTTTTAAATTGTTTTTGAGATGGTGGCAAGGTTTAAATTGATTTTAAATTGATTTTATCAGCATCTGAGTGTGATTAAACTGAAATGAAAATTGTGATGATTTTTATGAAAAATTATTGTTTTACTGGAATTGAGCATGATTGGAGTGAAAATGAGGATTTCATTGTTTTACTGGAATTAAGCATGATTGGAATGAAAATGAGAATTTCATTGTTTTTCTGGAGTTGGGCATGCCTATTTGGAATTGATTGAACTGCTTTGATGAACTGAGAATTTTGGTAAATTATGAGTTTTCTGTCAAATCCATGTTCACATGGACTTTTCTGGTTATTTAGGAAATTTGAGATTGATTGTGAATTTCGGGTTTTTCTGTAAATTCTACATGGTTTTGTCTCTGATATGGTCATGTATTACTGTGCCCGCTAGTGGGAGGTTTATAAACACTAGCACATGTCGACATGTTTACTGATATGACCTGTCCATTCTGTAATCCTGCCAATGGGATAATACATTGGTAATTACTGACGCCTACCAGTGGAAGTTTGTTAAACACAGGTACCATTACTAACGCCGGCCAGTGGGAGTTTGTTAAACACTGGTCCTTCTGTAACCCTGCCAATGGGATTAAACATTGGTTATTACCGACGCCTGCCAGTGGGAATTGTTAAACACTGGTACTACTACTGTGCCCGTCAGTGGGAGGTTTATAAACGCTGGCCATAACCTATAGATGAGACTACTACTAAATTTTGATTTTGCATAAACGGTTTGCCATTGAACATTTTGCTATTGAACTGAAGTTGAGTCTGTTTTAACGAGTTATCATTGAAAGTTCTGTTATGCTTACTTGGTTTGCATGCTGAAATTTTTACTCAAAGGCTATCCATATTTACTTACTGAGTTATCTCATAGTTTTCCTTGTCCACCATTTCGGGAAGCGAGGTCAAGGACGAGGAAAAACGAGGGGAGTGACGAGTTAGAAGGCCAGCCATCTTGTAATTTGAACATGGAGTTTAGATATAGATGATGATATTGTAAGCTAGATTGTAATTGGAGGTTTATAACTTCATTTAGTGGATTGTTAGTTTACAAGAGGTTTGACTTTGAAATATCCGATCTAAGTTATTGGATTGTCAGATGTGAATTGAATAAGTTCCGAGCCTTGTGCATTCACGGGACCCGTTCATGAGTGCACGGCGTCTGCCATGTCTTCGGATTTGGGTTATGAGGCGTGACATATATCTTCTTAATCTCCTCTCTTTTTCTCTTCCATTGTCTCTTCTTATTTGATTAAACACTAATTCATTTTATTAATCAATTTATTTGCAATTCTATTTTTTTTTAATTTTGTTTTCTAGGAAACATATTTGGGAGATAATCATTGGGTAAGTAAATTTTATTTATGTAAATTAACATTTAATTTCATTTATAATTTGATTATTATTATTTGGTTGAATTATAAATAAATACTAACCTAATTTATGTTTCCTTATTTTTTAGGAGATGGTGTTCAATAAATATTCACTTTATTGATGTAATATTTAATTTTTTTGGATTATTATGTAGTTAAATTTTCAAGTTTGTCATATTATTCTTCTTTTTTAAATTATGATTTAATCATTAATTTAAATAAATAAACAAAATAATTTTTTGTTTGTATTTTAAATTTTTAATATTATATTTATTTTTCATGATATTAAATAATATAAATTAGTTAATATTTAACTGTAAAGTAATTGAAATAAATAAAAAAAATAAATTAATTTCAATATTAATGTAAGAAACTGTTTTTCTTTTTTTTTTTAGCAGATTCCTTTACCAATGTTATGTTCGTCGGTAACTTGTCAATTTCGTTTTTTGGAAGCATCCTGTACCAACCTTATCTTTGTCGATAAGTTGCAGAACCTAGAAATGGGCCCAGAATTTGCCGACCCAAACCTTGTTGGTAATTATAGATTTCGGACTGCATCCTCCTCGGTGAATTACCGATGTAGTTGACCTTTAGAAGCACTCGCCGTAGTTGGAGACGTGATCTTCGTCGGTAAATTACTGACATGGGTTACCAGAAAAGATCTTCCGGAGTACTGTTCCGGCCTGCCCTTTGAGACATGTTTTTAGTCGATAATAGGGGGCAAGCATACCGACGTAACTTTATTTCACGTCGGCAAATGAATTACCGAGTTCACTTTCACCGACAAAGCTATCTCCAACATGATTCAAGTTCGAACGCTGTTCTACCGACGTGATACCCTTTCTTTCCAACAAGATTTCTTGTCGGTGAATTAATGAATTCTAGCAGTACGTCATTACCTATTTTCAAGTGGTGCTTGATCAGGCCAAAATTCTGAATAATGTTATTCCCCTTTTTGTCGTTTTACATGTGGATGAAAATATTGGGTGATATTCACATTGTTAGACTTGACAAGACATAGGGGGAGAAAAGATGCGAATAGGAATGTTAATTTTATATTTTTTATTTAAAAATGTTAATTTTGTTAATTTTTTGATAAAATTTTTTTTATTTAAAAATTAAGTAAAT